CGCCGCCGCAGCCGAGAAAGCGATGCCAGCGCCGGCTAGCCTGGCCAAAGACCTCGAGAGACTCGGAGGTCAGCCGCTTCAGAATATCAATCGTCACGCCATAGCCGGCTGCCGTGCGGCTCGTGTGAGCAGCTGCAAGGTCCTCTACATCTTCGTAGCTCTCAGCCTCCTCTTCCTCGGCCTCAGCCTCGCCAGCTTCGTTGAAATTCGCCCTCTGGGCCCCCCTTGCTCGCGTATGCCGCCTGCCAATAGCAATAGCTATATGCCGCCATTGCTGGAGGGTAATCCTCTGGCCGGTGTAGTGCTGGCTCTATTTAGCAAGAGCCCGGGAGAGCTGGCTGCTATCCTAAGGCGTGCTAGGGCTCTCCAGCTGATACCAGATAAAATCGCTCAGCAAGTAGACCTTATCATAGAGAGCCCAGCGGCTGCTCTAGAGGCAGTCTGTAAAGGGTCGGATATAAAGTATATATATTACCATCAGCTGCCCCACCCGGCCTGGCAGCATCTGCAGGATTACCTTAGGGCTATTGAAGTGAGTAAGGGATTTATGGTATTAGCTGACGAGGACGACCTTGCTATCAATAATAAAGAGGCTGCAGTCTCTATTAATACCATTAACAAGCTGCAGGCCGGTGATTTCCGGGCCTTGGAGGGGGTGATTTATAAGGTAGACTAGGAGCAAGAGCAGCTCCTGGAATCTCTTAACCTGCTGTAGATACTGCTGGACCCGGGGCTATTTCTACTTATTCCGGCTGTTGAGAAACTGCTTCTTCAGAGGCCCGGCAATTAGGTTCTGCAGTATCTCCTTTTCCTTGCCGAGCAGGCTGTTAGTATGGAGGAAGGACTGGCCCCGCTAGGTCTGCATTAGGTCGTCTCGAATAGTAGCAAGAGGGATAAGAAAGCAGTCTTCTTACTTAAGCAGCCCCAGGCTCTTCCGCCAGCCTAAGCCCGAGCCTGCCTCTGCCTCTACCTTACAGGGCCGGAATAACAGCCCGTCCCAGAGGAGGTCTTCTGCATCGGCCGTCATGCTTGCGATCAGCTGCCGGATTGTCTCTATAGCTAGAGGCCGACCTTGGAAGTAGAGCAGCATGCCGTCTCTATTCCACACTACAGCCAGCCGGCTGCCGGTCTCAAAAGCAATCTTCTTCCCATAGAGCAGGAGGTTGAGGACGTAGCCCATCGGCGCATAGCTGGACTTGCACAGCCAGGCCTTCCGGATAGCTGCTAGCCGCTCGGGCAGGTCGGCCATCGCTGCCCGGTCCTGGCTAGGCAGGGCCGCCTCGGCTACAACCGCCCGGGCTGTGTAGATGAGGCCGGCGAGGATGCTGGTGAAGTGGTGGGCCGGCCGCAGCTGGCCCGTCTCGCCGTTAATACCGAGAACGGCAACGAAGTGCCATAGCGGGCTCGCAAAGGGGTCGGAGGGCAGGCGCTGTATCCAGAAGCTAGCTAGAACCTGCAGGACCTCCCCTTCAAGGCTGCTGCTGCTGCTGCTGCTGTCTTCCTCTTCCTCCTCTTCCTCTCCTTTTCTGCTGCTGCTGCTGCTGCTGCTGCCGCCGCCAGTCTCCTCCGCCGCTGCTGCCGCCCTCTGCAGCCGGCTCCAGAGCGCTTCGAGCTGGCCTCGCTGCGCCGGCGTAAAGGAGAAGGCATGCTGCTCGACGAGGTCGTCGGCGCCGAGGGGCAGGACCCTCATGCAGTAGCAGAGGAAGCGCTTGTTGTAGCCCAGGTACCGGTCCATGCTGGCCTTTTCCTGCAAGGGCCCAAAGGGCTGGCTGTGGGGGTCTTCGGGGTAGGGGCTGGCGAGGAAGAGCCGGCCGATGAGCGGCATCTCCTGCAGGCCCGCGATGCAGCCGCGGAAGAAGATGCTGTCGAGGGCCTTTACGAGCAGCTCGAGGCCCGGCTCGTCCTCGGGCTGCGGCATACGGCTGGCTAGATAGATAGGGCGCAGGTCTCGGCCGCTGAAGTGATCTATCCAGCCTGTATACTGCAGCCAGTTAGTAATCTCATGCTTGCGAATGCCGTCTTCGAGTATCTGGAGCTGCCTTTTCTGCTGCTGGCTCTGCTTGTAGTCCCATTGCAGCTGGATGCTCGCTGCTAGCTGCGCCTGCTGCCTCCTCCTAACCCTCCCGGCCTCTGTGTCTTCTTGGTATATAGCTGCTGCTGCTACTATTGCTGTAGCGGCTGCCTTTTCCTTATTATCTTCCTCGCCGTCTTCCTTGTCGTCTTTCTTATTTATTACCGCCTCGGCTGCTGCTATAGTAGCTGCTACCCGGAAGTATCGCTGCTTCTGCTGTGGCCTGGTAAAGAAGGTCTGGACCTCGACGCCGAACCAGAGGCCGTCTCTGGCCCGGCTGCTCCGTACTTCGTGGACCTGGCTGCAGTGCCCTTTGTATAGCTTCCAGCTGACAGTAAGGAAGTCGGGGCACCGTCGGCAGCCGAAGCCGTAGCGGATCGGCAGCCCGGCAATAGGGGCTATAGGCTCCCTCGGCGGCAGCTGCTGCCTCTCGGCCGCTCCGGGCTGCTGCCAGCTTGGCCCGGCGAGGTCGTGGCCTCTGTAGCGCCTTAGGAGGGCCCGATGGGCTAGCCGGTCGAGGTCGGAGTGTTCCTGGTATAAGTAGCTCTTTAGGTCGGCAATAGCATAGCTGTGGGTCTTGCAGACTAAGGCCTGATAGATAGGGTAATAGATTAGCCAGCTTTCGCTTCTTGAAGTAATAGCAGCCGGCTGTAGATTATCTGCTATCTCTATTTATTTACTCTAGAAAAGAGAGAGAGAGAAAGAGAAAGAGAAAAAGAGAAAGAAAGAAAGAGAAAAAAAGAAAGAGGGGGAGGGCCCTAAGAAAAAAAAATAGGTCTCTTATCTCTAATTAGCTGCAGACTAGTTATCTTATAAACTTCAGTTATTTTATAAATTAGTAGATATAGAGTAGTCTATATACAGAATTTTAAGCTAATAGGTATAGTAGAAATAGAAATTCTATAAATAAAAAGTTTATAGAATAACTGTAAATTAGTAGTTAGAGTGTTAAGACTATAAGAATTAGATACTAAAAGAGAGGGGATACTTTAAAAAGAGCTTTTTATAATACTTATTATTAACTTACTTATTAAAGTTAAGAATCTTAATTAATTTATTATAAAAAGCCTAGAGAGCTAGGTATTATACTATAAAACTAAAATTACTATACTTAAGGTATAAAATTTATATTACTTTCTAATAAGTATAAATAGTAGCAAATTATATAAAGGTAAAATATTAGTAAAAGTACTAGATTAAGTAAGTAAAAAACTAAACTTATAGTAGAAGTAGTAGAGGCAGGGTAGTAAAGTAAGTATAAATAATAATAATTATTAATAAATAAATAATACTAGCTAGAAGTATTTTAAAAAGATTAGTAAAAAATAGAAGAAACTAAAAGAAAAATTAATATATAGTAGTAACTTTCTTAGTATTAATTAGGTTATAATTCTAATAGTATACAATTTTAATAGCCTTAAAAGTACTATTTAAATTTATAGCTAAATCTATAAGATAAGTCTATATAAAGTAGGTAAAAAAGTAATAAAACTTATTATTCTTTTTAAATTCTAAGTTATTATTCTTATTATTAGTATTTATATAAATTAGATTATAGATAAAGGCTAAAAAAGCAGCTAATTTATAAGTCTTATTCTTAAGACTAATAAATAGACTAAATAATATTAATTAGTACTTATATTCTAAGGGAAAATACTTACTACTAATAAAAATACTTATAAAATATAGAAGTTACTATACTTACTATACTGCTTATACTAAATTAACTTAGTATTAGAGAAAATATACCTAATTAATACTATATTAATAGAGGGAAGTTACTCTCTTACTAGCTTAAGATAATTAAGGTTAGCCTTAATAGCTAAATAGAAATAATATATATACCAGTCTTTACTAGTAAAAAGGCAGGTAATATAGGAAAATTAAGCTACCTTCTTAATATCCTGCTAGGCCTGTTTCTGCTTTTTAAATAGTATAGTCAGTAAAAACGGGGAGAAAATAGGGGAAATTAGCAAGAATTGGCAATAGAATAAAAATATAAAAAAAAAAAAAAACCACTAAAAACAGAAAGGTATAGAAGGAGTAATAGAGATATAATAGTTAATAGAATGGAATATAGAAGAAAATAAGATATAGGTAGGAAGAAAAGTCGGGGAGAATTAAGCTAAAGTTATAGATCTAAAAGTAAATAAATAGGCCCAGCACGCTAAGTAGGGTAAAATAATAATAATTTCCCCTACTATATAGTATAGAGTCAGTTAATTTTCAGACCTATAATATCTATTACTGGGGATAGCAACTTATAGAGGGGGGATAATTATAATAAGAGTACTAAGCCTTACAGCCGACACCCTATTATATACCTATATTTAGTATAAGAAGGGGTTAGCTCTGTATTGCCTTGGTATAATAGAATACTAATCTAGATACACAGCCTGCTACAAACCCAACTACATAGCCTACCTTAACAAGCCCAGGGCTAGCCCTTAGGGTTTTGCCTTAGTATCTATATAACTTCAGCCTGCTAACTAGAGACTGAAGTAAGGCAAGCTTTAGTCTCTGTTTTAATTAACTACTACCTTACCCTTACCTGGCTACTTTATACCTCTTCGTTGACCTTATTATAATAATATTAACATATCTCATTCTCAACATAATAGGATTTATATAACTTAAAGTAAGAGTAAGCCCTGACAGTTTTAATAAGATTCAGTAGAGATTCTATAAGAATAGTCGGGATTAGGATTCTTATGAAGTCTCCAATACTTAACCTACCGGGTATTTTATGATTAATAATGCCTATATTTCTAGCTATCTCTATAGGCAGGGGCTGAGGCTGACAAGCTAACAGACTGTGCTGGTTCTCTTAGGCATTATTAACCCGTTCAAGTTAATGCAGTATTACACCATATTAGACAAGAATCCACCTAGTCAACCCAGCCAGTAAAATTTCCAGTTTTAAAGAAAATTAGCTGCCGCCTGGGCGAATGTCTTCGATTTCAAATACCTCTCCGGCGCCAGTTTTCTGCTCCTTGACATTGCGAACAATGTCCTCGTGAGTCATGCATTTATACCCAATAAACTCACGGGCAGATATCCTGGCTGCGAAAAGCTCATCGACTTCCTCCAGTGTGCGATCTTTCAACTCCGGAATGCAGAAGTAGACGAATAGAAGAACGAGGAAGTTGGAACCTGCCCATATATACCCATATTTTGCACCCTAGACAGAGTATGTCAGAAAGAGAACAAACAAGAGGTAGTTAGAGGAAGTCGCATCAGAAAATAGGACTCCTATGCTTACCCAATTGAGATTTTCCGGGTTGATAAAGTACGGTGTGCAGAAGTTTGTCAACCAGGCAAGCAAAGATCCAACTGAAGTGGCTGAACCCACAGTCCATGCCCTCAACCGTGAGCTGACCAGTTCTGTGGCAACAAGGTAGCTTGCAGTTGCAATACACCCGTTGTAGAAGAACATAAAAAGTGCAGTGAGTGCTACCAGAGTGTTTGATGAGGCTGGGTTAATACTCGCAGCAATCGCGGCAGCAAGTTGACTCAAGCCGCATCCTAAAGCACCTATAAGAAGAATTGAACGACGACCAACCAGATTTCGGATTGCAAACATGCCGAAATTGACTCCTATGAAACCCAGGCATGTGTTCATTATCGAATACTGGAATGGTTTGGCCACCCCTGTGACAGAGTAAAAGTAGGTGTTGTATCCGATGAGAAACCAGATGCCGGATGCAGCCTGACAAGCGATCAGGGCGTAGCAGAGGATAGTACGCCGGAAGTCAGTCCCTAAATGCTCCGAATTAGCAGGGGTATATTTGAAAGCATCAGAAATTTCTGTCCAACCAACCTCGAAACATATCCAAGAACCCCACGTTCTTTGATACCAGCATCTCTTGTTCAACGCCTCGTACCATTTCAACCCACTCAATCTCAATCTCTGCTGGGTCTAATTCACTTCCTCTTAATCTTTCCAGGGCCTCTCGAGCCTGGGGCTCCTTTCCATGGCGCAAAAGCCACCGTGGACTTTCGGGGACAAAGAATAGAGCAACGAAAAGAAAGGTAGGAACTATAAATAAACACGAAAGTGGAATCTGGTAAGACAGCTTATCCATCCTATCCTTTGTGTAGTAATCAACGACTGTACCAAGGATAGATCCAACATTTACCCAATAGGCAAAGAGAGCAACTGTGAGACCCCGAAGATGTGCTGGTGCTACCTCGGCAGTGTATACATTCGAGTGAGTCACAAAGAACCCGTTTGCAAAACCTAGCAGAAGTCGCCCTATGTATAGGACGTTGGCTGAAGTGCTCATTATCTGGATGATACAGGCAGCAGCGTTCAGGATGCATGCCAACCATAGAGCAGGACGACGCCCTAGAAACATGGAAAACGCACCCGCTAGTAGCGAGGATACGAAGGAGCCGAGTGTAAGTAGAGAGGTGATCAACTGTTGAACGGTACTCTGAAGATGGACGAAATTAGTGTTGTGGTCCTAAAGCGCCATACAAATCCCCGTGAAACAAGGAGTGCAAGTCAAACTCACATCAATCCCGTAGCCCAGCTCACTGTTAGAATCCTCGTAACCGAATATTTTCAAGAATCCAGGCATTACTTGCAGGGCACCCACTGCCGAGCTGTCAAGTCCATATTGCATGTTAGCCATTGCCACAACTCCACAGATAATCAGACATTTTCTGTGCGCATAGAGCGAGTTGCGCGGTGACATAATGTTTCTGGAAATGATAGAATAGGAATCTCCTGGTCGTATATGCGCAACAAAAGTATAGTGATGAAAGACGATAGGGTTATAATGTGCAAACCTGGGCGTCTTGTGTAGTAGTCATGAGCTATATCTTAATAGACATATATCCAGTAGGATAATGTGGGGCATTCTGTGGGGCATTTAGCGGGCTTGGTCTTCTGTGTGGGGGGGTTGAAGGCGTTGTGTGGGTATTTGTGGGGGTTCTAGTGGAATCACGGGGACGATGCTAGGACCTGATGAACTGTATGATGAAGACTAGGCTAGCTATGTGTGACAGACGGTGTGTCGCAGGGGCGATTACCTCTGTCGCTACGTGCCTAGGTAGTATCTCAGGCAAAATACGAGACAAGTCGGAACAAGGGTCCGACAGTCAGGTCCACCAACAGGTTCCTGCCGGGGCTGGACAGGGGTTACGTAGAATTGTCTATCTGAAGCTAAGGAGGAAAAAAGAGAAGCCCCTTCGTGATTGCTGCTAGGGCTCTTCGGTATAGCTAGTGGGCGGTCAGGCCGGGTAGGAAGCCGGAGCCTACGGCGAGTTGCCTTCAACAGGAAATCCGCCCTTATTCAGGGCTATTGGCTCACCAATGGGTAGTCTTAGTCTGGGTGAACATATCACACCTTGTCCACCACAGCTGTTTCTGTAGTTGGTCGCCTACAGTCACCAAGCAGATTCCCTTCGAGAATCTGGACTTCAACCCCAATGGTGTGGTCCAAATTGGCTTCAGGTACTCTGCCGTATCTCCGTGCGACCGCTTTTGTTCTCAAAACGGATGCGATTGGTGAATGACATCGTGGACAAAGTATTATGAGAAGCCTGCATAGTATGGTCTTCTCAATAAAGCGCGCTGTAGCATGGCACCATCAGATTACAGCTCTGGGTACTATACTCATATATTCCCCACATGTAGGAGAAAACTTTTGCACTTCGTTTGGTGGGCTCTTCCCACATTGTCTAGTGAACGGAACCTGTGACTCCACAAAAAGCATTTCTACAAGAACGTCACATCACAAGGCACTGTACGGCTTTGCAACCACCAAGAATCATCATCTCGCGTTGGCGGCAAAGCGAAATGGCTGGAAATACTGACAGATACCCCCGATTCGAAGATCTTCCGCTGAGAAAGGGGGATCCTCCATTCTCTTCATGGGGACTCTGGGGGGTCGATGACCAAGTTGGGACAATAGTACGCATGCCGGGCCTTCTTTCCCCTTTCGTTATTTTATTGAACTTTTTGGCGTAATTCCGACAAAAGAAGTCTCTAACAGAATTGATCTAGAACCATCTCACACCAGAGGTAGTTAGAAAGGCTGCCAGGGAGATCACGAGTGGGAATCGATTCAGCTTAAAGTACGCAAGGTGATGACACAACTGACTCCACATTCCTAAGCTTACATGTATATGATAGTTGGCCACTAAATACACCAAAGACTCCCGGCTTTCAACGGTCCAGCCCTGATGAACAGTTCAGGCACGAGCTATGTCGCTTGAACCCGCAGGTACTTGCCTTCGATGATAGAGTGAGTGTTGTCCCGATATCCCCTTCCTATCGGCATAATTGATGTTAACTAACACTCGGCGCCTCTGCGAGCAAATAGGTCTCCTTCAACACTCAAGTCAGTACCCAGGTCGACGGACTTCGCCACTTCGCCTACCAAGACGCGAGGCTTTTCTATAATGGACATAATGAGCAATCTATCTTGGCTCCTGGTTCAACTCTTCTGGGTACACATCATTGGCATACTAAGGGTGGACTTGTGGGGCGTGGAGTTTTAATCGACTTTTGGTCTTATGCTCAACGTCACCAAGGCAAAGGTTACGACCCTTGCGCCATTCCTTCACAAGCTATCACATTTGACGACATCATGGCCTGTTTCCACGAGCAACAGCAGCTATCCACTACTGACTTGCTCCTCCATAAAGGCGATATGATCATTTTCCGCATGGGCTATGTCAAGCAGTATGAGCGGCTGACGCCTGAAGAAGAAAGAGACTTGAGCACGAGGTCTATCCCCGAAACATGTGGGATCTCGCAAGATGAGCGGATGTTGAAGTTCCTGTGGGACCACCGGGTTTCATTTGTAGGTTCTGATACTCCAGCCTGGGAGAAATTACCGCCAGTACCCGGGGCATCATTCTTATATCATGAGGTGTTGATCGCCGGATGGGGTTGTCCAATTGGCGAGATGCTAGTGTTGGATGAGCTGGCTGAGGCCTGCTTGGACAACAGGAAGTGGACCTTCTTCCTGTCATCAGCGCCTCTGAATGTACCAGGTGGAGTTGCCAGCCCCGCGAATATAATAGCTATTCTGTAGGTAGGCCTCAGTACCGCGGGGTTATACATTAATGCAGAAAATATATTTGGACATCCAATATAGCCAAAGGCAATCACTCGGTAGTCTAATCTAAGTGGTGAGCATCAGGATTTGTATATTGAAGTAACCGTGCTTCCCAACCTAAACTCGGCATGGCCTCCTATCCTCTCTACTTGGGATAATACATATAGACCTATCTAGCGCACCCATGAGCATCCGGACCTGTATTGACTTTGCTGCCCATTCTGGAAATTCCTGCGCTACGTTGACAACAGTCTTGATCACCTCCAAGTCATTGACAATTCCAATGGTAGCTTTTATTTGACGTATGGTCTACCGTTTAATACGCCGAGAAGCGTGGTCGTTGCCTGCTACAGTTCGGACGAGGCATGGGATCATCCTTGTGCCAATGAGCAGCAGCATAACAATGCAGATTGAAGATGTACGATATCTGTAATTGCTGCAACTGACATATATCGCGACCGAGGAACAAGTCTGCAACCATTGTCACACCATTTGAAGGTCAGACAACTAGTGCAACACATGCTCCACACAAAATGCCGCGGTCCACACAAGACGCCTCCCCACATAAAATGCTGCGAAGAAGGCTTCAACCAAAACGCCACTCCCCACACAAAATGCCACAACTCCCCACACTCCATGGGTAACTCGGAGTGAATGACGAGAAAAATCGTATCGTAGAGTGTGTAAATAATCAAAGTACGACGAATATAAAATCCGTAGGTGCCACGATGACCATATCGCTATCACCCCTCCACGCCCCAGCTTCTATTTCGACTTCCCCGCTTCATCATTGTCCACAGCAAACATGAGTTCACCAGTCCCCAAAGTTGCGTTTGTCAGCGGTGCCAACGGCATTAGTGGTCATGCGATTGTGGAGCAATTGATACGCAAGCCCGATTCTGAATGGTACTGTCAAGCAATGGAAACTGTTGACGGAAGCTAATACCGTTCCACAGGTCGCAAATCGTAGTGTCGTCTCGCAGACAGCTTCCCAATTACTGGGCTGACCCTCGCATCGACTTCGTTCCCATCGATTTTATGCAGCCCGTCCATCAGAATATCGACAAGTTAAAAAGCATTTGCCAGAATGTTACTCATGTATTCTATACATCCTACGCTCACTCGGATGATTTCAAGGGGCTACCTGAAAGGAATGTTCCCTTGTTCAGAGGTTTTATGGATGTCATTGACGCAGTTTGTCCTCGACTGCAACGTGTGTGCATTTACACTGGTGGAAAGGTACAAGGGGCCCGCATCAAATTTATTCCGGATTACAGCTCAATTAACGACATTATAGTACTATGGTGCTCACCTGGGCAAATTGAAAGCTCCAGCCGAGGAGTCCGCACCGCGCTACCAGGACGATGGTGATAACTTCTACTACAATCAGGAGGACTATTTACAGGCAGTCCAGAAACGGAGAAATGTCTGGTCATGGAACGTTGTTCGCCCAACTGGGATCATTGGGTTCACTCCTCATGGTAAGTTGAAGGCGTCTTGTATGTCTCCTTATTATCCCAGGTGCTCACTATTCAATAGCGAACGGGATGACTGAAGCCTTGACCCTTGCTGTCTACTTCTTAATCTGCGGGGAAATAAAACAGACACCTAAGTTTCCAGGCAATGAGTATATCTGGAATGGTGTCGACGACAAGTCCTATGCGCCGAGTATAGCTGATTTGGCTATTTTCGTGTCCACACATGAACACTGTGCCGACGAAGCGTTCAACCACGCGAATGGCGATGTATTCATCTGGAAAAACTTCTGGCCCAAGATTGCGGCTTATTTCGGACTAGAGGTAAGATGACTCTTAGCTTTTGATCAGAAAAAACGTAACAACTGACCCTCGTTTGTTCAGACAGTCGAGCCATCCTTTGAGAAAGTGAGAGGGAATTCAAATACTCTCATCACGGAACTTGATCTCGTAGAGTGGTCGAAGGACAAAAGAGATGCATGGAGTCGGATTGTGGAGAAATACGGTGGAAAACATGAAGTCTTTGATTGGGCTGCTTGGGGACACCTGAACTGGGGTATGGGACGAGCATGGTCCACGCTCTTGTCGGTTAACAAGGCGAGGAAATTTGGATGGAAGCGTCATGATGACACTGTCGAAGCCTGGATCAACACCTACAAAGTGCTGGAGAATGCAGAGATCCTCCCAAGACTCCCGTTTGATCAGCGATTTATGTCCATAGCTGACAGATGAGTCAGTCACTTCTCTGAGACGTATGCAGAAACCACAATCTCACCTTCGCTGTTTTGTTAATATTCAAATTGTTGCCATATACCTAAACATGAGTAGAAGGGATGGTCAAATCCCCTTGCACAACTTCTTCTCCAATATCCGCTAGTGCTTTCACCTTCTCAGAGTCTGGAGTGTGGGTGAGACAACGGATGGAATGTCAGTCCGGATGCTGAAGAAGAAGCCTTGCAACTTCACCGCCTGTGACCGACTATCGGCATAGAAACCATAAATTGTGATATACTGCCGTTTAGTCTTGCATACCCTGGGTCCCGGTTACACTGACGGTGATAATAACCTTTGCCATTGTACGGGATAAATGAAAAGAAAACCTGATCTCTAACGAAGGTGTATTGTTATGGGTTCTAAACTATAAGTCGTGGAATTCTAGCCTTTCTTATTGTTACTTCATATCCTCCATGAGAAGGGCTCTTGTTTATAGCAAGGAATGGTGCAATGTGGCTACCCACGTTCGTAGTCTTGTTAGTAACCTAAGACTGTGGCCTGCTGTGGAGTTTATTGGGCTTGATTGCAGTGCTTGAAGAGCATGCAGAGAGAATAGAGGTACTAGATGCTTTGTTCCGTCAGCGTCCAGGAACTTCCTTATAAAGACTTTGCAATAGCGTTAGATCTTGGTTTATATCTAAGGATTCTGCATATCTGCATCGCTATTATTGCATGGCGCAAAGTAGCTCAGAGGGGCTCCTGGGGGGGGGGGGGGGGGGGGGAGGGGGGTGCCATCCCACAAGTATACAGCCTTTGGCTACTTCTGGTATGCTTTGATCATTATCCCCTTATGCCATTCAAATCACATATATATCTCATCGTACATGCGCAGCTGTCCGAATACGATAGCTAGCAGTAAATAATGTTGCTTCCCATTTATTTTTCAGGGCTCCAGAACATTACTAATTGACCTCGCCAGGTTTGCAATGCTGCTGTCAGACCCATTATGCCCGCTGAGCTGGTCGAGAAGATAGGCGTATTCCTGAAAAATTCTTCTGGCCGTTTTGGCGCCTTGAATTTGAGAATCGCAATCAAACGTAAGCAAAAACAAGCCGTTACGAATAAACTGCCGGGCTTGGACCGCCGTACATTGACTGGAAGGGGTTCGTTCTGCACTCTCCAGAGCCATCGTCCAATCAAACTGCCACCCCGTGAAGCCCTCATCATCGATCATAGCCCAGTCAATCTCCTGCAGGAGTTCCAACTTATTGGTTGGAATGCTCTTATCAGCCGCTGTGGATGGAGGCGTTGGTGTTCCTTCCGTAAAAAAATACAGACCGACTACCAATGCTGCTGTGAATACCATGGATTCGACTCGGAGCAACGTCTTTTCCACCAAAGGCAACGGTAAATGGGCGCCATTGGTGAGAATGTAGAATATTTGGGCCGCGTGTAAAACGGCTCGACGGGCAGCCGGTGTTTTGGACCACACTTTGATAGCACCACGGGCTTTGAGCGCACTTTGGTGGCCGCGGCGACCGAGTGCTAGCTCTAGCTGTTCGACAGGGGCGGTAATGACCATGCACAGATAATTCCATGTCAATGAGGAAAGTTGACCAGTAGAGGGTCGAAACAGCTCTGCGTAATCCTTCGATATAGCAACAAGTTGTCTGCTGATGTTCTTGGCTTCCGCAGACTGGTTGTAAAGGTTAACTGGTGCAAAAGCGGAAGATTGTAACACGGTATGATCCGCAGCCGAGAAGATCTTGACTTGGGCATTGGAGATCTGTGTGTGAATATTGTCCAAAATAACCCTTAGGAGGAATTTGTTCATCATATCGCTCCCAAGTGCGCATTTCGCAAGATATCGCATGCGAATAACAGACATAGTCACATCTGTCGTCTTCGCATCCTTGACGAATTTATCCGCACTGGGTGAGTCGAAGAGATCACTGATGGCTGGAACGACGATATTGACTTGGTTAGGGTCGATGACTCCAGTAGTGCCCATTAAGCGGGCATAAGCTGCGTCCATGCGCATCAAGGATAATATCAGCCTGGGATGGACGGTGAGCCTCAGCAGAAAATATAAACATGGGATAGTCACGCTAACCTTTTGACAGACTCGACCCTTGCCCACAGCTTCCAACCACTCTCTCCATCAGAATATTTGGCAAGCAGACCGTCGATAAGGTTCTGGCTTTCAAATGTCTCGTATAACCCATGCTTTTCGGCAATCTAACAACACAGTCAGTATCTTGTTCCTTCAATATAGTATCTCTCTTACGTGTAACGTCTGGGCACATAGCATGAGGGCGGCCTCCTCTTCGCGGTTCTGTCCACATAGTTATAGCCTGCTTTGTAAAGTGCTGATACCTTGAGGAAGTCAGCTTACTTGGTCTTCTAAGTTGAGGTACAAAACTAGAATTGAAGATGCTAGCGAGCGGATCAATGCCGATGGCGAGCCGGATTTCCCACGAGCCTTGCAAGCTAGATCCACTCGACAAAGCTCAATGAGGCGCTATCAGACAAAATTCTTAGTTAACAAAATTGCTAGCTATTTTCTGTGGCCATCTAGAAAACATACCGCACGGAAACGTGAAACAAAAACCACTGAGCCATGTGGATCGAGAATCGAATAACCGATTAATATCATTGGCAACAGGAGCAGACATGGTGTATCCGAGACATCAAAAGTGGGCTGATGCACGAAGGGCAAAGACAGCTGGACGTGCCGGAAGAAAAACTTCAGGCTAAGGTCGAGCATTTCCACTGACAGGAATTGTATATCTAGGTGGTCCGCGCCGGTCAGCGGATCAGAGGAAAGCTCACATAGTTGAAGCTCAGAAGAGGGCAGCACGTTTGCTACCCCACTCTTTTCTGGAATGCTTTGAGTCTGACTGCAAAAGGTGAAGAGCCTCTCCCAACAAGGTTTCGTGATTTTGTCGCTCATATCGTTTTCGGGTCTGAGGTCTGAGGGAGCGGTTTGCGGCAAATTAACATGCTCTCCAGGGTCCGAAAAGATATTATCCGATTTGTGCTCTGCGATATCGTTCCACAACGTTTGAATAAGAAGCGCTGGCTGAGACGACCCTCTACCGGACCACAGCTGCTGGACGCGATTTAACGAATCTGGTGATCCCGGCGAGACACGGGGAAGGGCCATTGCTTTTGGTGTGTTGCCATTGATCATTGGGACGTCTAACAATGGGGATTCCAATATAAATGGACTCGGTTGCCTCTGTAGAAGCTCACTGGGGCCTCCAAGTGATGCGTCGGCTCCGGTGCAGGCAACATCCATATTGATATGGCTGAGGTCGTAATCAGCGTAGAGTGTGGTAGAAAATGGCCACGAGTCACCTATCGGCTGATCCAGGAAAGGAGAAATGTGCATGTGCGGAGAAAGGTTGATCGTTGGGCGGTTCTCTGTTCCCGAAGGGTGGTGCACATTCGGCTCTTGCATCTCTAGGGGGGCGAAAACACATTCGTTCATGCTATTTGCCGACTCTATTAGGGGTGAAAGCCAATCCCGGACAGGTCGATCAGCCGTCGAGGTCAACATATATTGATTAGTCGGATCCACTGGAGGACTGCTGCTTGATGAAGAGTTGTCAGGGACTCTGGCATCCCAGTCCAGGTTAAGGCAGGCTAGAGGTGTTAAGCTTCTTGCTTGTAGAAAATCACCCTCTGGTTGGATATCGTCGGCTGAAATGGAGGTGGACTGCTGACTAGTCTTTGGACTGGGGACTTGCTTGCTCCGATACGCCCTCCTCGGGTGATTCTGTATATGTCTCGCCAGAACGTCACTGCAGGTAATTCGCCCATGAGCGATGTTGGGCATAAGAATAGTTGGGACTGTCTATGTGCGCATACCTTCGTGCATACCGCTGATCACACTTGGGGCATTTGAACGGCTTTTCTCCGGTGTCTGGAATGCATCGGCGTCAACTCACAGTGATCGGGGGAGAAATAACATACGTGATCGTTGATGACGCTTGAGATGTTCGTCCTTGGTGAACTCTCGGTCGCAAAATGCGCATTTGCGGCGTTTGTCGTTGGTATTGACCATTCTGGGATGGCAGACACGGCTTATTTTAGATAGAACCGAATACTGGATGGTAAAGAGGATGTCTTGACTGAGTGGAGACTGTCGGCTTTGACACGGTATTCTCTTTCGACCTGGGTCAACCTTTTCCAGCTTCCAGCCGATAACTTTCAGGGCACAGGGATCTTCGATTATGTGGGGGGAAAAGAAAAGGGATGCAAGTTCAGCAAAATATGGGTGACGCGAAGCGGGGTTGGAGAAATCCCGACATCAATTGCCATGGCGTCCTTAGTCTCGCACAAGTGTCAGACACGTGATCGCGACGGATCGGTCTAACGGCCTGAATTGATGTATGTTATGGCACAGGGAAAGTGATATTGAGGGGGTCAAATACGGTATTGCAGGTGATGCTAGAAGCAGCGTTGTTTCGGCTGTTATGACCGCTATGATTATGTTCTTTATGATGACTTCGTCGGTGAGGGATTTCCTCGTTTTCTTGCAGCTCCGACCCCCTTATCTCTTATCAGCCGGATTCCATCGACGGCCTCGAGGCCTCATCGATTCCCAGCTGCCGTTCCGCCCATATCGACTACATCCTCTTGTCATCTCCTTTTCATCCACCACCCAAGATGAGTGCTTCGTAAAACGATTGACCTGTTCCTGCTCCGATGCCGCGGAGGAGAGCGACCTATCGGAGGGCGAGGGTCACGAGGGTGTTAGGAGTGAAGGTATGGAGGCATTGTTGGCTCGCATGCTCCGCGCTACAACCGCCTTTAGCGAGTGAACCCAGAGCCAGCCCCTCAACCCCCAGCAGGTACCAATTTCAGTCGAAGTGCCGGCAGCCACTGAAGTGGCTCTGCATTGCGCAAACCTGCACTCGGCGACGCAATAATGACGTGCAACTAAGGAGGAGATGCTGTAGATACCAACCCCCTTCGCTCGAGAGTTGAGAGTTGAGAGTAACATTTCCTCGCCGACATCGCCGCGGGACCCTCAAAAGAAGTTCAATTTCCTAACTCGAACGCACTCAAAAGTCAGTGGCTAGCTCATCTCTGCTTTCGGCCAAGCGGTGGCGGCTCGTAGGGATGATCGGTCTTCCAGCAGTAGAGTGAGAGGCAGAGGAGGGCATTACTGCTCAGAGCCAGAAAAACAGCCCTGGAATGGTGTGGCTGAGGGGTGCTTGCAGGAGCCGGCCCCGGTGGGGCCGCCCGCAGGACTGCCGGAAGGGTCCCTCAGGGGCTTGTTAGGGAAATTGCGGTAAATTAGGTACGGGCACTAACACTAGGTGCCAAGAAAAAATAAATCAAGGGGAAGGTCAGAGTCGCATCATGTGCTTCTTCCAGGGAGACTTCCTGGGGAAACGGGATTGTTTTGGGGGGGGGGGTTGACTGAAATCCAAGGGTCCGGGATATCATCCTCTGTGGTGCGACGTTCTAGTGTGGCACGGCGGAGGGCGTTGGCTTTGTCTAGTTGCGTCTTGTAGACCACATCGTCAGTCGTAAGGCAAACTTTGCCAGGTTGTGTTGGAGCCAAGCTGATATCAGGGAACATTAAGCTGAGCGTGAAGTGGTCGGAGCTAGTGGCTAGGTGGTCTTCAACGTTGGCTTCAGCAAGGGGCATATATTCGTAAAGGCGAGGTCGTTGGTGTTGCCGTGCGGGTTCGTGGGTATATCAGCGGTGTTCAGTAGGCTGAGATTGTTTTCCGATGCCCAAGAGGCGATATCATTACCCCGGTCTGATGGCCGGCCCGTCTGCCATGTATGGTGTTTGGCGTTGAAGCCTCCTGCCACAAGGCAACGGTCCGGGACGGGTCATTGTAGTAGGGTATCCAATGCATCGCTATCATCGTTTTGGCGGTAGAAGTTGACTATTGTGATATTATTGACCGTAAGCCATAGGATGTCTCGGATTAGTGATAGCCGTCTCTAGTCCACCAGGAGCCCAGAGTCCCGGCGGACGTATGTCATGACCCTTGATCGAGTGTTTGTGTTGTCCCAGGCGTCGACTGGAGAGAAGGTGTCGTATGCCGGGTGGGTTTTGGTTAGGCAGCGATAGTCCAGCACTGCCGTCCACGGTTCCTGTAGGAGGACGATGTCATATCGTTCAGAGTCGGCCAGTGCGAGGGCGCAGTCGTGGGCCAGGGGGACCTTGCCCACGTTGGCCTGGAAAACTCGAAGGGTCTTTTTGTCGCTTTTGCGTGCACGTGGGCGCCTACTCATGGGCCTGAGATGTGAAGATGATACGGCGCTTCTTCGCCGGAGACGGGGGTCTGGGTTGTTCCAGTCGATCCAACTGTCAACAAACAAGTGACTTTTGCCTTAGAACTACCAACCAATATAAATAATATATTGCCAATATGGATAACGTGAATAATAAGTGAGTGGCCACGAGACCGCGACCACGCAACTGTCTACATTCAATCGCGCTTTTCTCTACAAAAAAGAATGGACGTAACTACACAAGAAGGGCAATTACTTTTAGCCATTCAGGCTGCTCAAAAAGCCCTAAATCCTAACATCAAGTCAATTGCTACTATCTATAACCTCTCTCGAACAACGCTCCGTCGCCGACTCCAAGGCATAACTTCACGACGCGACACTATGCCCAAATCGCGGAAGTTGACTGAATTAGCGGAATCAACAATTGTTCAATATGTACTCGACCTGGATTCGCGATCGTTTCCTCCCCGGCTTTGTGAGGTAGAAGATATGGCCAATCGACTGCTGGCCGACCACGACGCGCCTAAGGTCGGCAAGCGCTGGGCTTCCAACTTCGTCAAGTGACAACCACAACTCAAGATACGTTTCTTTCGGAGATACGACTATAAGAGGGCCCAATGCGAAGATCCAGAGACTATTCGGGGCTGGTTCGCACTCGTACGGAACACAATCGCTAAGTATGGCATCATGGAGTCTGACATCTATAACTTTGACGAGACTGGCTTTATGATGGATATTATCTCGACAGGCATGGTCGTCACGAGTGCGGAAAGACGTTCCAATGCGAAATTAGTCCAGCCAGGAGGTCGGGAATGGGTTACGGTAATCCAAGGCGCCAATTCCCAAGGGTGGTGCATCCCGCCGTTCATCATCGTTGTGAACGGCCTCTAGTAACTGTGTTCCAGCTATCTAGTCCAGGATGCTATTTACATCAAAGATAAAGAAGAAATAAGGAAGTTCCCAAGTGCCGCCGAGCTGTGCAAAGTTTTCTCACCCCTGGTATGCACGGGGTGTGTAGGCCTTGCGGCTGCGCCGCAAGGATAAGGGCCTTGGCCTGTTACAATCGTCGCAGGTCAATATCACCTCTCAAGCTGGTATGAAGACAGCCCCTTACCTCAAGGCTGGGTGATCGCGACATCCGATAACGGCTGGACAACGAACGAGAGAGGCCTGGAATGGATTCAGCAGATCGATAAGCACATAAAACCCCGAACTAAAGGCGGATATCGCCTCCTCGTCCTGGATGGGCATGAAAGTCACCACTC